TCCATGCACAGGATAACAGTCCCCACGGATAAATGTAAAAGCTTTCCTCCCCTCGCTTTTTCGAGGGAATTTCAGCACTTTAGTCAGGAGATAATAATGTTTGGCTGCTTCTGGCTGCCCAGTGAATTCCCAGGTATATTTGTGGAAGAAAACCTTTTCTTTCTTTTGGAAGATGAAAAGTGGTAGTTTTCTCCTGTGTTAACTCTTTCTTCATGTCAACAATGCAATGGCATTTCCTAGGGAGCTAATATCTTATCCTACCATGCAATAAACCATTGATTCCATTCCTCTCCTCACACTAAAAGCTGGAAAGAAAGTATTTTCCTGTACTTAAATGTGCTGTGGCTTATTGCACTGGAGACTGAGGAAAATTCACCTTCAAATACCTTCTCATTCACTTTCTCCGGCTGAGGGCAGGGCAGTGCCAGGGTTAGCCCCGCACCTCTGCCCCTCTCTCCCAGCACCCACAGACCGGCTATTTCACCCTCTCACGGTGCTGCTGGCACAGATGAAACCCTCTTCGTTCCCTGTAGGATCCCTTTAGGATCTGCCCCTTTCCAAAAGGAGCTCAGCAGCCCCCGCCGTTGTTCCGAGGATAATTTAGAAACAAAGGTCAAGTGGAACAGCTTTGCTCATCCGTGTAACTGAAATAGGGGAGAGGGCTGTTGCCCCACACTTGTGTCCTCACACAGCCTGGTCACTCTGAATCCTGGTACAGCTACATTTTATGCTCTATTTCTTCACATTTTTCTGTGCTTGCTGTATTTGTTTCTATTTATACCTCTCATCTCGATGCTGCACTCTTTGCTGCCGATTCCTGGGCTGCTGCAGGGCGATCTCTGCTCCTGCCTGGAGACTTACTTGGCAGTTGGTTTATGTCTCAATAAAAGCTCTCAAAAATCTTCAATTCAATCTCACACGCTGCAGTTTTGCATCTCAGGGTAAATATGTTTGTCGACATTTTCAGGAACATGTGAGTTTTTGAAACTGCACTTTTTGATGTTGCTAAAATACTGGGGGGAAAGCGCCAAAGCAATTTCTGAAACCACATGCGATATTACAATCCTTTTTAGGTGTCAAGATTCTCTATTAATGAGCCTTGCATTATATTATTTTCTCCTCGCTCAGTAAATATAAAGACTTCTGGAGGAAAGCCATTCCCCAGCAACCAGGCACCTTTTGTCACTGACAAACTCTGTAAGGTGTAACCCACCGGCTGACTGCTTTCTTTGGTTTCCTAGAGGTTCTTTGCAGTAACTATTAACTTCCTGGGATAATAGAGAGCAATTTTTGCTTTCCAAGTATCTAACGAGGAATTTCAATTGATCGTCTTGCTGAGGGGCTCGCAGAGAGAGCGCAGCAGTGAAATCAGATAAAACACACCTTGAAACCAGACTATCAGCTGTGACTCAGCCGCCGGGGCTTTGGGCATGGCCGGGGGTAATTCGTCCTGGCTTTAACCCTGAACTCCTGGCACGCAATAAAAGCCGCTATTTCTGACTAGGCGGGGCATTTTTCTCGGAAGAGAAGTTGTTCTTATTAAGCCACTGCTTAAACTTCACCTTAGCGTAAATGAAATGCTGATAAAGCTCCAAACGGGTTTGGAATTATGTTTTTTAGTAGCATGGGTGAAAAAAAGCACAAAAACCCAATCGTGAGAAAGCTGGATATTACTTTCTGGTGTAGCACGGATTTCCTCTTTGTGAGAGGAACGGAGAGGGAAAAGCTTGGAGCATCTTCCAGGACACGAGGAAAGGAAGATGGAGAGCAACACAGAGCGATTTGGGTCACTTCACCTCGGGGACCTGTGGATTATGTTGCTCGGTTTAATATTTCAAGTGGTTTAGTGCTCTTTCTACCGGGAATTTTGGGGTTATTTCCCCAAAAATGCTTCTTATGTGCTGTGCTGCTCCGATTAATGATCATGGCACAATATTTCATATTTCACAGAGGTTTTTAATCAGAACACAGCAGTGTGACAGAGCTTATAGTAAATGTGACAGACAGTTTCAGCAATTTTTTTTTTACTTGAAAACGTAGTAACTGATTTTGTGGGGCTAATTAAAAAATAAAAAGTTAAAAACTAAATTAAAGTATTCCCTCTCCTCTTTTAAGTGCTATTTAAAGTAGTATTCATTTTGCATTGATTTAAAACTTTCTATTTTGCATGACTGAAATGTAGATTATTCAAAATTAAGCACTTTAAACTGCCATCTGCCCAATAAGTAGATCCTGTACAAATGTTAAAAGTTTCATAACAGACTCTTCCCGAAACGGTGCTGAGCATCGTTGGCTCCTGTTGGGGCTGGAGAGGCAAATGAGTTTCAGTCTGGTGAATACTCTCAACTCTCTTTTGCAATAGGAAATTTCCAATGGTTAAATTGTGTTTTAGGTGCAAGCAATAACTTAACTTTACAAATACCAAAAGTGCTGCTTCCTAAATGTCACCTTATTCAAATGTTCTTGTTTTGTGAGATGCTGTCATTAAAATAGTTTATTTCCAGACAAACCAGAATATTGGTGGAAAGCAAATATTACTTAGAGAACATCTAAACTGCAATCAGCAGATGAAGCGACCAGAAGTGTTGCATCGCAGCTTTCGTGTCCTCTTTGACAATGGGTCTCTGCTGCTTGTTTTGAAACTAGAAAAAAAAACGTCCTCTGCAATGCACAGTAAACACGAACTACTAAACTGAGCTGTTTAAAACCTCTGGCACTCGAAGAAACACCGCTTATACTGTTTCTGGTAACTAAATTCAAAACCAGATTGGTGAAAGTTTAAATACACAAAGAGGAAAAGTGTCATGTAAATTTAGAAAGTAAGTGACCTAGTTCTACAAGCTCTTGTTAGTGACAAAATGCAGTTACTGCCTAAAGCATCTAAGCGCCATCCACTGTCCTCAGGCCACGCAGCCTTTGACTTCCAGCTCTGCCTGTGCAGGGGCTGCAGGTGACCCCTTGTTAAAAGGATGTTTTTAGGTAAAACAGGACCTCAGACTCCTGAGCCTGACCGAAAGGGAAGGGGGGAGTGAGGAGAAGGGAGGGGTGCCTTGAGAGGTGGGAGAAATCACAGTAAACTATTTCCTTTTCTTAAAAGTCCAGCAATATTAAGCAAGTGAATGAATAGTAGCTCTTGTATTAATGACTTGATACGAATGACCTAAAATAAACTGTAAAAGTTGATACTGGAAAACTAGATATGAGCAACCAACATACACACAGATGAGTATGTGTGAAAGTGAAAGGTATAGGAAACTGCTGGGAGCATGGATTCAAAACATTTCCATTGTCTAAAAACCCACCTCTGGAATTTCTCGAGACTTACACTACCAGCTGTTCAGAAGGAAAAAAAAAAACAAAAAAAAAGAAAATAAAAACGTGACAACAAACGTTGTTAAAAAGGAGGGAAACACCCCAAGCAGTCTGCACACCCTCAGGTCCAAAGGAGCCGCCGTCGCGGCGGGGCTCAGTCCATGCTGGGGGGCTC